TATACCTCTTTAAGATGAACAATTGTAGCCCACTGAACTTGCAGAATGACATGCAGAAGACGATGAGCATCTAGGCCTCCTTTGGACGGAGAAAATTACAGTAGATATTGCCACAGTCCACCACTTAATGGTGCTGGCAAACACTGGTGCAACCTTTGAAGACTTTAAGATAGCCATTGACAACTTAAACCAAAGGAAACACTCTTACTGCATGTTCCTGAGGAAAAGCGTATTTAAGAAATATGACCATCTGCTTGTTCCTGAGGATGTGCTGCCAGTGGTGATGCTGACAGGTTACAAGCATCAGAATACACAGTATGCACAAAACATAATCCAGTTTCAAATAATTTCAGTGACTGGTACACCTGGATTTTTCTGCAGGATAGTAGATGTCATCAGATAGAAATGCCTTCTACTCAGAAACTGCTCCATAGATGCTCTGGGGTCTCACACTTTCAGTGCTTGTTTTCTGTGTTGGGGCAGACATGACTGGTAAGTATGGCCAGTTTCTGACATCAGACATGCTGCAAGGGACCTGTGCTATTCACTTTTCCATGCACTGAACCTACAGATCACCCTATACTTACCTGTTACAGGCTCTGTTCTCCCTTCTGCCTACAGACCCTCCTGGTCAAGAGAAGGGTTTCCCAGTTATTGACTCATGTAAATAATGAGTACTTTGACAAAAGACAGCAGTGCTCTTACCAGCAGTACTTAGTTCAGAGGATTTTCAGCCTCTGTCAGTCAACCCCACAGGTAAACAAGCCTTCAGAGAGCAGGAAGGAATCTCTTGGAAAAGCAGCTAGCCTCTCCTTCCAGTGTGTGTAATTCACAGTTGCACTGAGCTTGCCCTTCAGCTGGACAGGGAGGAATCACACTTGTTTGGCGTGCTATTTATGACTTGCTGTGTTATCTCTTGGTACCCCAAACTAGAAAGACAAGCATAGGCCCATTGGTTTGAAGACAAGCCAGAATACAGTCCTCTGCCAAGGCCCTGTCTGTCTAGTGGGACATGCCTTAGATCCAGGCTATCAATACTGTAACAACCCATACAACAAACCTACAATGGAGCAAATCTCTCCATCAGGCAGTAAGGCTGTCCTTGGCTCCATGGTGATTTTAGGGGTTACGTCTTGCAGGCTTTCCTCCTACAGTTCAAACAGTAATATAAAAACCTGTATTTGTACACTGTTTGTACTTCCTTTTCTAGTTGGATGCTGCTGCTTGACACCCTTGATTATCTACCAAATCTACTGATCTCAATTTTCAACTTGGTTAAGTTGTACAGACATAAAACACAACAACCATAAAACTTGGTTATCACAAAAATATTTAATCCTTTCCATTTTACATGCCTATTTCTTCTGGAAGTTACTTAACCTGTTTTCCATTGGCCTAGACAATGTCAGTCATGAAGTACTGGGCCTGAAAGAACTTCTCTACCCTGACATGTCCCTGTGAGGTAGATAATCTCCAACCTAAAGCAGGATTGCAATAATCCTTTTACAAACAACAGCCTTCCTCTTACAAACTCCCATTATGAGAGCAGTAAACATTTCACACACAAACACAATATTCAAATCAGGGCCTGTGTTAATCAAACAGTGAACAGACTCCAAATAAAACCCTTCCAATACACTTTTATTTTTCCATTTAGAACACTAAATGTCCAATCTGATTATGTGCTACCATCAAACTACTGAATATCCATGTTAAGCAAACTAATCATCAAAACAAGATCTGGGGTTTTTATACTGATACCAAACAGAGACAGGATCAGGATCAAGATCTCAAGAGGATCAAGACAGCTTTTACCTGGTTCAGATCAGGTGTTACCTGACTGTAGTCGTATACAGAGTGCTACTATATTTCAACGTAACTTGATTGGCAGTTGCATTGAAGGCAGGCACTGACTCCTGCTCTGAAACTTGTGTAACAGTGTAGAACAAAGCACATTTTTAATGCCATTTTGCTACAGACTGATGAAAAAAAAGCCAAATGGTAACCTGTACACCCCAGCAGCCTTTCAGAATGTCTTCTCAATCCCCTAAAATAATGGGTTTCACATCTGAAGCTTGCACTTCAAGGGCTTCAAAGATACTTGCTTATCACAAGCTACTAGTGGAGTGCCTCAAGGGTCAGTACTGGGACCGGTATTATTTAATATATTCATCAACGATTTAGATGAGGGAATTGAGTGTACTATCAGCAAGTTTGCTGATGACACTAAGCTGGGAGGAGTGGCTGACACGCCAGAAGGCTGTGCTGCCATCCAGCGAGACCTGGACAGGCTGGAGAGTTGGGCAGGGAGTAACTTGATGAAATATAACAAGGGAAAGTGTAGAGTCCTGCATCTGGGCAGGAACAACCCCAGGTTCCAGTATAGGTTGGGGAACGACCTGTTAGAGAGCAGTGTAGGGGAGAGGGACCTGGGGGTCCTAGTGGACAACAGGATGACCATGAGCCAACACTGTGCCCTTGTGGCTAAGAAGGCCAATGGCATCCTGGGGTGTATTAGAAGGGCGGTGGTTAGTAGGTCGAGAGAGGTCCTCCTTCCCCTCTACTCTGCCCTGGTGAGACCGCATCTGGAGTATTGTGTCCAGTTCTGGGCCCCTCAGTTCAAGAAGGACAGGGAGCTGCTGGAGAGAGTCCAGCGCAGGGCAACGAAGATGATTAAGGGAGTGGAGCATCTCCCTTATGAGGAAAGACTGAGGGAGCTGGGTCTCTATAGTTTGGAGAAGAAGAGACTGAGGGGTGACCTTATAAGTGTCTATAAATATATAAAGGGGGAGTGTCACGAGGATGGAGCCAGGCTCTACTTGGTGGCAAACAATGATAGGACAAGGGGTAATGGGTACAAACTGGAACACAAGAGGTTCCACTTAAACTTGAGAAGAAACCTCTTCTCAGTGAGGGTGACGGAACACTGGAACAGGCTGCCCAGGGAGGTTGTGGAGTCTCCTTCCCTGGAGACATTCAAAACCCGCCTGGACACATTCCTGTGTAACATTATCTAGGTGTTCCTGCTCCAGCAGGGGGATTGGAATAGATGATCTTTTGAGGTCCCTTCCAATCTCTAGCATACTGTGATACTGTGTGTGTGATACTGCTACCACTTCAGAGTATGACTACTGTGCACTGAATCCAATAGTGCTTTATGCCTGCAAACTATGTGAAGGTGAGAAATATTGTGAAAAATAAAGTAATTGTTTCATGATATTGTTCAACAGCTGGGATTTGCCCGATTTTGTGGCCAAACTGGCAATCTGAGCACCAAAAGGCCAGGTTTAAGCACTGTCTTGTTAGACTGTAAATGTTCACCAGAAAAACACACAGAATCACAGAATGGTCTGGGTTGGAAGGGACCTCTGGAGATCATAAAGTCCAACCCCCTGCCAAGGCAGGGCCACTCAGAGCAGGGCACACAGGAACGTATCCAGGAGGGTTTGGAATGTCTCCAGAGAGGGAGACTCCACAACCCCCCTGGGCAGCCTGTTCCAATGCTCTGATACCCTCAATGTAAAGAAGTTCTTCCTCATATTGAGGTGAAAATTGTGCTTTAATTTATGGCCATTGCTCTTTGCGCTGTTGCTGAGCACCACTAAAAAGAACCTGGCACCATCCTCCTGGCACCTGCCTTTGAGACGTTTATATGCATTGATGAGATCCCCTCTCAGTCTTCCCTTCTCCAGATTTAACAGGCTCAGCTCCCTCAACCCCTCCTCTTAAGAGAGATGCTGCAGCCCCCTGATCATGCTTGGGGCCTCCCCTGGACCCTTTCCAGTATCTCCTTGTCTTTCTTGTTCCAGGGAGCCCCGAACTGGTCACAGTACTCCAGATGTGTCCTCACCAGGATGGAGGGGAAGGATCACTTCCCTTGACTGCTGCCACGCTCCTTCAACACACCCAGGATATATCCTTGTCCCTTCTGGCTCAAGGGCATGCTGCTGGCTCATGATCAACTCATCATCCACCAACATTTCCAGGTGCTTCTCAGCTGAACTGCTCTCTAGTAGCATTAGTACCATCAAGTCTGATTATCCCTCCATGATCACCATCAGTAACCAGAAGAAATGTAGTTATTAAGAACACAAAAAGACCAGCCACGGCTATGTCAGCAAGGGCAAAGGGGAAGCATTCACCATCCCCAAACGTTATGCCTGTGTGTTTGCTGACAAGCAGAAGACCTGCTCTCTGGTAACCTAGCTAACCGAGTTTCACCACAGCTTTTTGGCAATACTAAAAGTTAAAGACTTTTGGACAGGCGGAAGCACACACCCCTCTGCCCTGCCCGACGCGTGGAACGCTTCTGCTCGCAGCGAGTCCTCATGCCATTACACACAGGCAGGCTGCGCCCGAACCCCTGAGCTCTACGGGAGCCCCCCAGCCGCGGTGGCACTATCAAACGCTTCGGGTAAACGGCAAGGAGTTGCTTCCATAACAAGATCGAACAACTTTGGGGTCACCACAACCCCAACGATAGCAGGGCCCCCTTGGCACGAACAACGCCGACCCCTAACCCTCCCTTCACCCCTGAGGTAAAGCACCGCCCCGTCCGCTGAGGGAAACTCCGCCTCCACAACGTAACGCGCCCTCATAGGCGGCAATCGCCGGATGGCACCGCCCCCTGGAGGCACCCCGCCAATCGCGAAGGGCAATGTGTCTTCTCGCCCTTGCGGGCGGGGCTCGGAGCCCCCTCCCCGCTCTGCCAGGGCGGCTGCGCCGGGGCCGCGTGTCGGGCGGCGGTTGGTGGTGCCGCGGTCAGCCAATGGGCGAGCGGCACCTCAGAGCCGTCGGCTAATCGGCACGCGAGCCGGCGCCGGGCCTGCCGCTGCGGGAGCGCCGCGCTACGGATCCCCGCCACGCGCGCTCGGGCCTTACGCGGCGGAGAGGCGCGGAACGCGATTGGCGGCCGCGCCGCTCGTGTCGCAAGGCGGCAGCCAATCAGGGGGCGCGGCGTCCCCGCGAGGGGCGCGGCGGGCCGGAGCGAGGGGGAAGCGGCGCGGTCGCGGCTGGCGAGAGGCGAGGCGGCGGCGGCGGCGGCGGCGGCGGGATGAGGCTGAGCGGGCTGTGCGTGATGCTGCTCCTGCTGGGGCTCGCCCAGGTCGTGCTTCTGGCGCGGGGCGCGGCGGCCGAGGAGAACGGCGATGACGGTGAGCGCGGGGGGGTGGCGGCGGGGCGCGGCCTGGCTCCCCCCTGAGAGACGCGGGTGTGCGCAGGGGGCGGGGGCAGCGCCGGTGGTCAGTGCGGGAAGGCGCTGGTGTCCCGGAGAGAATCATAGAGTCACAGAATGGTTTTGGGTTGGAGGGGACCTTGAGATCATGCGGTGCTAGCCCCCTGCCACGGACAGGGACACCTTCCACAAGACCAGGTTGCTCCAAGCCCCGTCCAACCTGGCCTTGAACACTGCCACGGATGGGGCAACCACAGCTTCTCTGGGCACCCTGTGCCAGCCCCTCAGCACCCTCACAGTAAAGAATTTCTGCCGTATATCTAACCTGAACTTCCCCTGTTTCAGTTTGAACCCATCACCCCTTGTCCTGTCGCTACAGTCCCTGATGAAGAGTCCCTCTCCAGCATCCTTATAGCCCCCTTCAGACACTGGAAGGCTGCTCTGAGGTCTCCACGCAGCTTCTCTTCTCCAGGCTGAACAGCCCCAGTGTTCTCAGCCTGTCTTCATACAGGAGGTGCTCCAGCCCCTGAGCATCCTCATGGCCTCCTCTGGACGTGCTCCAACAGCTCCATGTCCTTCTTATGTTGGGGACCCAGCGCTGAGCGGCTGCTCTGCCTCACTGGTTCCAAACAGCAGTAAAAGTTTGCAATTAGCCATGGGGCAGTTACTGACATTTAAATTGTCAGTAAATATGCAGTTCCATTATCTGTTGGCACGCCCTCAGTTTAGTGCACTCCGTGTGTTTCAAGCCAGTTGTTTATCTTTTCCCGAAAGGATTGCTGAATATTCTGGTTTCTTGGTGTTTCTTCCTGTTGTGTTTGGATTTCTCTGCTGCGTGTCTTCTTTCCCAAATTAGCTGAAACAAAGCTGCTCTGACTTACTAAGTTTAGCACCTGTTTGTAGGAGGCAGGCATTTGAAAGTGCTTCTTTTCCTTCTTTTTTCATTTTAAGCATCTTTCCTGTGGATTTTTGAGGAAGTCCTATGTCTTTTGTATTACCTACATTAAAGTGCTGTATGTTGAGTATTAGAGGGTGGTCAGGGAAGCCGGATTATGCATGACTTCCTGAACTCCTGTCCTGCAAAGTCTTGCTCAGTGAACAGGCACTGAAACTTGGAGAAATGCATTTATCTCAGGTACCTTATCTGTGTTACTAACTGTACCATCTGTAGGATAAAGGATCAGGAGATTTTTCTACTTTTAATAGGATATAGCATCTGCAATAAGGAGATACATATATTTCAGCTTGAATTTTGAAAGGAAGATTCTTTATTATGTCTGTTTCTCTGCTTTTAGCTGGAAGACTTGGTTATCATTGCTTTGTAGCATGTGACAAAGCCTGGTACTGACTTCCCCCACTCCCTTCAAACGATGAAGTGGCAGCAATGATGTTACAGCAAAGCCTGGGTCCTGTGGCTGGCTGCAGTAGCTCACCTTCTCCTGGAGTAGACTCTCATCAGTATTTCCCATGCGTGCTCTTCTTCTCATGAGATGAGTTCTTGGGATCAAAGATGCACAGTGATGAAAGGATTTCCTCCTGTGTGCAAGTTGAGCACTAATGCATTACACAGCTTGAATCATTCTGTTTCTGTTGTGTATCTCAAAATCTGTATAAATCACAAACCAGGCTTTACCAAGCCTTTGCTTTAAAAATGCAAGTAATTAGGGTTTTCCATTTTTGCCCTTGAAACGCAGAACTGTAGGAAGTGGAATAAATTTACTTTGCAACAAGTAAGTAACCTTACATAAATGAATTGTTCAGGAGATGGAAAGTTCAGATGAAAGTGAGCTTGTTGCACTCAAGGGTTTTGGAAGTGGAGTCTCACTCGGGCAGTGAGGCAAATACGCTTGCGGCAAGGTTAGCCTGGATCATGACTTTTGCATCCTGTTGAAGGAAAAAGAGGGATCACGTAGAGGATTGATCCACTAGAGAATAGTCTGTGGAAGACTGCTTTCATAAACAGGCTTTTGAATGCCCTGGCAATAGAGTGTGAGTCTTGACTTGGGTGTTTCTGAAGACTGAGCTCAGCCAATTGGGGAGCAGTCATTCAGTGGCCTCCTCAAAAGGAAAGTTTCAGGCAGAATCCTGAAGTTATGTCCAAGTACAGGTTTTTTGTACAGGATTCACTCTGCTTAAAAGAAAGTTACAAGGGCAGACTTCTAATAAATGCTGGAAGTTCAGTGAAGCTACTGTCAGGATTCATTTCAGTTCAAGTGACTGTCATACTGAAGGAGGCCTGCCAGCCAGCATCATCTACCTGGAGTCTTAAAGTTGGTGCCATCTCCATCATGCTTTTCAACTTGTGTAGTCATGTGGGAATGCTTTGCTGGAATAAAAGGGAGTAGTCCATATTCTACTGGAGGGCAGGTATTAGCTGATACTTGTTGCTTTGTCCACCTTGCTTTGTAAGTAGCTTTAAGAAACAAAGACACTTCAGTCTGAGTGCAGCTATTTTATTTTAGTGAGCTCCCTTTATAGAAGTATCTGTTAACTACTTCTGGCATTTCAGCTGTCACAGTTAGACTCATTTTGTATCTGTTCCCTTCAAACTGTAAATCAGTGATGCAGAGGAAACTTCCTTACTCTTAATGAAAACAGCCCTGCTTGCTTACCCCGTACTTGGTCAGGTCCTTGAATCAGGTCTTACAGTCTCAACACTGAAGAGGATGTGGAGGTAGCTGAGATAACCCTGGGTATCAGTGAAGCTGGAGTCTATAGAGGGTGAGTTTGCACTCATAAAACCCAATTTGTAGGTGTTGTTAACTTCTTTATGTTTGGCAATGCCTTCCTTAAGCCAGTTGGGAAAAGCTGGAGTCCTGATGTTACACACTACTGTCCTGCCATCTCGTCCTAGGAGGAGGAAGTGTGTGTGCCTAATGCCCATGACAATGTATCCCCATCAAGGAAGTTTTATGTTGTAAAAGCTCTGCAGAGCTTTTTGTACAGGATTCTGTACAAATGTACAGCTCTGTAGAGCTTTTAGGGACAGATAAAAACTTACTTTGGTGATGTTTGTTGGATCTAGTGGTAATGATGTTTCCGTAGGTGATGCTTTGTTCTCAGCTTTCAAATTCATGAGTCCATGCACAGTAGCTGTGGTGGCCTTTTTCCTCTCTTCGGGACAGGTAGTTAACATAGTAAGCAAGAATGAGAGTCACAACCTGGTGGTTAGTTTCAGGCATGCATGTGCAGAATAGGCTGGCTAGTTTTGCTAAGGTTCCTTTGTGTGAGGAAAAACCCAAGTCTGAAGTGATTTGCCTGGGAAAACGATGGGCATTGGACAACTCCGTAGGAATTCAGGCACAGGCTGACCATGAGCAAACACCCTGCAGTGAAAATCAGCCCTCAAAAGTGCTGGGCACACGTGTCAGCAGAAGTTTTGACTGCTGAAAACTAGCTTTTTCACCAGGGTTGTCCCATAGTTATGTGACAGCTGCAGATTCACTTCCAGGATGTCTAACAGTTCAGCCCTTTAACTGCAAGTGCTCAGAGGCAGCAACACAGGAGGCATTGTCCACTTGCAAATAGTGCTTTTTGCTGCTTCATAGAGCAGCTGAAACAGTAGTAGTTCTTTAAGAAATTTAATCCAGGTGACTACTGTTGTGTGATAAATAGTCTCCTGTGCTCTCTCTCCCCATCAGAAACTTTAATATTTTGGTGGTGAATAAAGTTGGGTTTTAATTAAAATTAACACATTTTTGTCCAGGAGCACATATTGTTTTCTGAGACCATATAGGCTTATTTCTTTAATACCTTCTCCTAACAGAAAAACAGCTATTGCAATTTAACAGCATCATTTTGTCCACTGTGAGCTTGTTCCTATAGTCTTCAATTGGTCTGAGAACAGTGGGGTTTGGGGTGGTTTTTCATACATGGGTACTACACATTTATCATTCTTAACTTCAAAATTCCTGGTGAAATCAGAGCATTTTCAGGATTCTCATGCTGAATCAGTAATTCACATGTACGTGATTTCCTGTCCTGCTGCAGTAGCTCCTGTCAGCTTAGTCCAAGGCCAGTTAAGTGAAGAATAGTTTTGATCAAGAAACCTCAGTCTGTTTTGGTATTTTGTTTTATTTGTTGGGTTGTTTCCTGATCCTGGGATTCCAAGTGGTTCAAAGGGCCTTAGTTTTGTGGTTTTCCAGTTTTCATTTGGGATGAGGTGTTTTCACTACTTGGTTTGTGACTGAAATTCCTTTCAAGTCATTCAGGAAGGTCTGCTTGCCTCAAGTGATAGCATTTAAACAAAAGTTTAAAGGAGCATTTGAGAGATGAAATATTAAAGAAGCCATCTCAAATTCCAAACCAACAAAGACTGAACCAGTTTAAATGTCTTGGCTTCAGGTTTCACATGCAAACTGCTTCAGTGATTCAACAAACCTGCTTTCTCTTTGAAAGACCCTTTCTGGACCAGCAGTCTTGTTCTCCTTAAATCTAAGGCTTCCCCAAAACCTCTTTGAAAGAACTTTTCACTCTGTTAATTTCAGAAGAGTACCTTGCATCTGCAAAGTTGGTTTTCATGGGACTCCCACGACAGTCACTTTATTATTTGATTTACACCCAGGCTGCAGACTGGTGCTGATCCAGAGCAGAGCAAGTTGGAACCTTCTTCAGTGAATAGCAGACCTGAAATATCACTGTAACTGAGAGATAGACTGAGGTTGCGGGAGTGGGATGGAGCAGTCAGGAACAGAAGCATAACGTTCAAGTGCTACCTCTAAACCACCTTGCAAACGATATCATTTGAGTTTATAGCAAGTCTGTTAGAGGTTCAGATTGGCAGAGCATAGCAGTTGTGATGTTACAGGTATAGTGAGTAAGGGCGCAAGAAACGCATTGGGGAGAGATGACATCTGCTTTTTTGGTGCAAGGCACCCAGTTTTTCTAGCCACAAGTTCCTGTGCTTGAAGGACAGCCCTTTTGGGGCATCTTGGAGGGCTTCTCTTGGAATTCAGGTGTCATCTGCATGCCCTTCTTGCCCAATAAAACAGGTCTCACTTCCCAAATTTCAACAACAAACACAATGTACCTTGGTGGCAACTGTCGCATAGGTCTGTATGTGTGTGTTTTGTTAGATTGCCCATAAGTGCAAAAGTACATCTTGACACTTTACTGAAATACTGATATTGTTGGCTGGTGTAACATAGACAGAAGTGAAATGGTCTAACATCTGAGTCCAGGCTCTGTGCAAACTGAGGTAGCTGTCATTGTAACCTGTGTTGATACCTTTTGTCTTAACCGCAGGATATACTTAATCCATCTTTAACCTGGTAGTGTTATTTTAATGTTAAACTTGATACAATCTAATCCATGTTGTGTTTTTATCTTTCCAGAATCTGTTATAAAAGAAACTGATGATGACAGTGATGATGATGGTGATGATGATGAAGATGACGAAGATGATGATGATTCTGAAGTTAAAGAAGAAAACGGTGTATTAATCTTGAATGATGCAAACTTTGACACCTTTACTGCAGACAAGGACACTGTGCTGCTGGAGTTCTATGCACCTTGGTGGGTTCACAGCCTGAGCTACGTCCTTAGGTGCAGGATGGGGTGGCTGTCAGGGGCTTCTCTTACAGGACACAGTCTTAAAGTGAGTTAGGCTACAGTTCTGAAGATGATGTAGGAATATCTTACCTGCAGGAGAAGCACTGGACTCTGCCATATCCCAGGGTAGGAGACAGTTCTGATGGTGTGGAGGTACTCTTTTTCCTCACAGATGTGAGTCATACTGAGGGATCCCATGCCAACTGAAGCACAGTCCTGGTTCTGTCCCTGTTCTATGCCTGTCAGGGAGCAGAAATATCCCCAGTGAGCCCTAGAAAAGTCATGTAGTGTGGTCGTGCAGCCTGCTATAATCCTTTGGCCTGGTCCACTGACAACTTGCGTGCTTGCTCATCTAGATGGAGGAATGGAGGAGGCTTCCCTGGTAGGGGTATGGCTTAGACGTTTTCCTTCTTAAGCTTAAATCTCTGTCCTTGCCAGAAGGGTATAGTGGAGTAAGGACTTGTATGAGGCACTGTTTAAACTGGTATAACAAACATCTGTGTAATACGTATCTTCTCTTGCATTCATTCTTATGGAGAAAAACAATAGGGATGGTTTGTGAGGGGTAAACAAGAGCAGAATATATTGGCAGTCAAGTTGCTGAGTTAGTGTTGCAGCCAGAACCTCTTTGTGGCTTAGTGGTATAAATACAACTTACTCATTTGTCCTTTTCTAGTCTTTGAATAGAGAGGGGAATATGATCTTGTGTGAGGTGGAGTTCCATTTTAACTAGTGCCACTCATCACAGAGTATCCTATCCCTCCTTGGCTCTAGGTACTGTTTCTGCAGCTATAGTTTTCATGCATGTCTGCATGAAAGCTGAACATGAAGCGTAATTTATCCAAGCAAAAGGGTGTGTGGTCATCACAAACGAAACACCTTTTGTTTTTCTACTCCCCCTCCTGCCAGTTGAGAGGCTGATGAGCACAGGCTATCTGCTATGCTTTATTCTCTTGTTTTTCCTGGTTTCATCTTCAGCTTGTCAAGCTATATTTAGCTTTTCTAATGCTGGTATCCTCTGTCATACCAGCTTTTGCAGCAGAAGCCTGTGATCTTCCCCAAGAGTTCTGCTGTGGCCACAGAGTGAGAGCAGATGCTGTGATACTGTGGTGGGTGTTAGATTTCATTAGATCAACTGCTGAGTCATTTTTTTTCTTCAATTCCATTCAGGGTGCTAGGTAAAGGAGATTAATCAAGATTAGGAGAAGCGAAGTCTGAATAAGACTATACTGGGAGGGAAGTGGGGAGGAAGGAGAAGTGTGATACGAGGTGTGCAGTGAGATAAAACAGTTGGGGTTTGAACAAACAGCACATTAGCTATAGTAACTTTATATTTTCATGAGCTGAAAATACAGCAAGACAATGCATACTGGAGATGCAGAGTAGCAAAATACATTTCTCCTTCTACTTATGTCTTCCTCTGGCAGGTGTGGGCATTGCAAGCAGTTTGCTCCTGAATATGAAAAGATAGCCAAAACTCTCAAGGAAAATGACCCTCCTATTCCAGTTGCCAAAATAGACGCTACTGCAGCCACTTCACTAGCAAGTCGTTTTGATGTCAGTGGCTACCCAACCATCAAGATCCTGAAGAAAGGCCAGCCTGTTGACTATGATGGCTCTCGGACAGAAGATGGTAAGCAACAGTCCTTTGCAATTCTCTGTAAGAAAGCAAAGTAGTATATAGTCCTGCTTTTTCATGTGACTATTTTGAAGGACTTTGGTCTTAAGCTAGTTTATATCTTAAGCAGAATAATATTACGAAGGCTGAAATTTTGCTTCTCAATTGGCTGCATGCGAGAGACAGTTTTGCAGGTAGTAGGTAATGCTATTATTGGTGAACCTTTCTAGAAATATGATTTGAGAAGAGGAGGTAGTCTCATGCTTGTTAAAGGATCAGCTAATAGAAGCATCTGATCTATACACTGACTGTATATAAAGCCACTTGGTTTTTGCTTAGGGAGTGTGTCCAGCTGCAGTCAGAGGGGAAAAACAACCTTTTGTGTCTATCTTGAGGTAGAATTCTGTGCGCTACAGTGCTGCAAGGTACTGATCTGTGTTCTGCGTAAGTAAGATGCCCTGTGGGGTGACGAGAAGACCTCCTTGGCAATAATGAAGTAAAGTATAAAGGAGCTTGATTAAGAGAGTGTTTACTTGTAAGCTTTGGTCCAAGAGAGTGCTTGCCACTCTGATTTGAAGTTCTTGATACCAAGTTTTGCATTCAGTATGCTGCTGATATGATAATGCAAACTTGCTAATTGGGTTTTTGAACTCTGTTTCAGCAATTGTGGCCAAAGTCAAGGAGGTTTCTGACCCCAGTTGGACCCCACCACCAGAAGCTACGCTGGTATTGACCCAGGATAATTTTGACGAGGTTGTGAATGATGCTGACATAATCCTAGTGGAGTTCTATGCTCCATGGTAAGCAAGAAGGCAGTCACCTGTACCTTCCTAGCACAGCTGGCCTGAGCTGCTTGGTTTCTGTTGTTATGCCTCATTTTTAAAGAGGCTTACCTTGTGCAGGTGTGTGGAGCTCTAATTCGGACCTAGCGTCATAGTAGAAATCACTTGAAGATTAGGTTGGATCTGTGTCTCAGCGAGAGGTGGTCTCCAAAACTTCCCTGAAGATTCTCCTCGTTTACTCATTTGGGAACACATTGAAAAGATGCTGAAAACCAAAGACAGTTGATCCCTAGTTTAAAAATGGCCTCTAAAAATTAAACTACCTATAGTAATGTGACATAGACATATAGGCTAGCTTCAGATTGAAGAGACAAGTCTTTCTAGACTGAAGTCTGTAGATCAAATAACCCCATTTCCACTTTCTTCATTCTGGAATACTTTACTGTTCCACTTCAGAGGTAGAAGGTACACAGCAGGACTCGTATCTTCTAAAACTGCCCTCCTCTCTTCCCTCCCTAGGTGCGGGCACTGCAAAAGGCTTGCTCCAGAGTACGAGAAGGCTGCCCAGGAGCTCAGCAAGCGCACACCTCCCATTCCCCTGGCTAAAGTCGATGCCACTGCTGAAACTGAGCTCGCAAAGAAGTTTGATGTTACTGGCTACCCAACCCTGAAAATATTCCGCAAGGGCAAAGCTTACGACTATAGTGGTCCACGGGAAAAATACGGTACTGCAGCTTCTGCTCATTCCTATTGTTTGAGGGCTCTGACCGCAGGTGTTTTGATGTATCTATAGGACTTGCAGACTTGTTAACGTCAGCAATGGTTGTTGGGGAAACCTGGAAAACTCTGTCCTCATACCTACATAGGCCAGCAATATAAATCTGTCTCTAATCTTCAGAACATTTTATGGTGGTACTGTATGTTCCTTTTAGTATTAGGTTAGTTAAATACCCATGGTGAAGTGCTGGCGGTATGAGTAAATGGGCAGCCTTTATTTGCACGGGAATGCACTGTAAGGACTGGCAAAGTACTCAATATTCGGTTTCAGTAAGAGGGAAGGCTTAAGACTATCCAAGTAGAACTTTGGTTCATAGCAAGAGACAGTGAAGCATCTGGAATTCTAGAAAGGAGGGTTACTTGAAAGATGAGCTGATATCCATTGAGCTTATGTTTGGTCACCTCTTCTGAAATCAGCCTGAAAGAGAATATCCAGAACTGCAGCTTTAAAGTCTTGGACTGTGGTTTTGCTGATCTGGTCTTTAAGTTCTTGTGGGAGGGCTGTACAGAAAGAACGGTGTCCACAGGAAATGTGGTGTTAAGCAATGTCTTGGAGGGAATGCCTGGACCTTTCAGTTCAGTAAATGTTCTGAGCAACTTTCTGGGGTGGGTTTGTCTTGCAGGTATTGTTGACTACATGATTGAGCAGGCTGGGCCTCCATCCAAACAGATTCAGGCTGCCAAGCAGGTACAGGAATTTCTGAAGGATGGGGACGATGTCATCATCATTGGAGTCTTTAGTGGAGAGACTGACAAAGCCTATCAGCTCTATCAGGAAGCAGGTAAAATATGAATGAAATGTCTGTTTTGTTGAGATTGAGGCCAGGACTTTGGGCTTGGAGACATCCTTTATTTCTGCTCTTAGTTCAGTGGGAAGAGGCTGGAGAGCAATAGGAGGAAGGAGATTGAAGGGTGATCTTCCACTTGTATTCTGGCTCATGGCAGACTTTGAGACTATAACTGAAATACCAGCTAGTCACAGGAGATAACTTCCTCTTAGTGTTGTGTCCCTAAAAACACGTGGACTAGAAAGGAGGGAAACCTCATAGCTGGGGAATGAATCACAACATAAGGCCTTGCTAGCTTTGCTGTCTGCTATTGCCTGTTTTGTATCTGACAGTTCCAAAGGCTGGGCTTTGCCAACTTGTTTGGGGTAGGCGGACTGGAAAAAGAATCATCGTCCACTCCTGGATCAGTTTAGCTATGGAAATGTTTATTCTTACAAACCTTTTTGACTGTGACACATTGATGATCCTGTTAATGACCATATTTGCTAGCACACAGACTTAAGCACTTGAAGTGTTCGGTCCCTGTAATCAGTCCCTGTCTGTTACATGAACATACAGCTCGCAGTCAGTCTTGGTTTCTGCCACAGCCTTCAGAGCAGAGTGGGCAATTTCCCCCTGGCTATGCCCACTTCTGGGGCTGCTGTTACTTATAGTTAGATTAGGAGCTGATACGGTTGCTCCAGCAAGATACAGAACTGTTTCCCAGGCTGCCACAAAGCAAATAGATGGGCTAGGTGACCTTGTGAGTTCCTTTCCAACTCTACTTTCTGCTATTTGGGGGGAAGCCAAGAGGCAGGAGACTGATAAGCAAATAGCTGTTTCACTGGGCATGTTTTGGAAGCTGTTCAAGGTTTTTGAATATGTAGAGTAACTCATGCAGTCGATGGGTTGTTGAACAGCATTCAAATAGTGCTACTTGAATTGTACATATTTTTGTGTGCTTCTAACCCCTGGATGAGAGCTGTTCTCCAGACTCTGGGTGTTTTCATGTCCCACTGAGAATGAGAAGAGAGTTTCTTTGCAGTGCAGTCTTAAGATTCCAGTCAGAGGCTGACACTTCACTCCTTGACGACTTTTCCTCCTTCCTAACCTTAATTTTCAGCTAATGGCTTAAGAGAAGATTACAAGTTCCATCACACCTTTAGCAACGAGATTGCAAAACTATTGAAAGCATCTCCAGGAACAGTGGTTGTCATGCAGCCAGAAAAATTTCAGTCAAAGCACGAGCCAAAGATGCGTGTTTTGGATCTTAAAGTGAGTACCTGATCCAAAGCTAGAAACTTTATGTGTATGGGTTGAAGGTTCTCTTTCTTTGCATAGATGAGCAGTTAGCTTTGTCTTATTGGAAGCACTCCACTAGATATTTGAGGCAACCTGTTCGTCCCCTAAAGCTGTATTGCTTTGTTTGAGAAAGTTTTATGGAACTAACACAGAGGTTATGTATTCAAATAATAATTTGCCATGAAAGTTTTCAGTTTAAGAGTAGGATGCTAGATTATCTTAGTGCTCAAGGGTTTGAAGACTATGGTGACAGCATTGTTAGTAACATGCACCTGTTTTTTGTTCATGCATGCATCAGTATTTAGTTTTCAGTACTGTGTAACAGAAATACCACTTAAATGCATTTCTCTGAACTTTTTCCCCAATTTCCCTTAATCAGGACTCTACAAATGAATCTGAGATTAAAGAGCATGTGAGAAAATATGCTTTGCCTCTAGTTGGCCATCGCAAGCCTTCCAATGACGCTAAAAGATATGCTAAACATCCTCTGGTGGTTGTCTATTACACTGTAGACTTCAGTTTTGACTATCGTGTTGGTAAGTTTGCTGAGATGCTGTTCCTCCACTTCACAAGGAAGCAAGCAGGAAGTGACCAGAAGTTACTAATCCCGTTGTGTTCTGGTTTTTCAGCTACCCAGTACTGGAGAGGCAAAGTCCTGGAAGTGGCAAAAGACTTCCCTGAATATGTGTTTGCTGTTTCTGATGAGGAAGATTATTCTTCTGAAATAAAAGACTTGGGCCTGCTTGAGAGTGGAGAGGATGTCAATGTGGCCATCCTGGATGAAGGTGGCAAGAAATACGCCATGGAGCCAGAAGAGTTTGACTCCGATGTACTCAGGCAATTTGTGATGGCGTTCAAAAAAGGTACAGTTTTTAAAATAGGGTTTGCTCTGTGTCCCCTTCCAAGAGTCTTTCCTGAGGCAATGGCTACAATGAAGTCATATATGCAACAGGACAGTGCTCTGTGGCTTAAAGCCTTTGGATGATTCTTGCCTTTTTGTTTTAAATCTTAGTTAATTTACTTTGTTGCTTGATCTATTCTTTGGCATCTAGCTATATTTTAAACCTGAGCATGTCTAGCAAGCTTAAAGTGTTCTTGCAGCTTTGAAGTGTGAGGTGATCCTACGTATTTGGGACTAGTATGCTAAATCACTGCCTAATACATTGTGGATGGACAGTCATAAAAAGAGGGTTCTAGGGAATTGTGAAACAAATGGTTGCCTGTATTCAGAAGGTTATTGTGCTGAAAGGTCACCATCAAACTCACCTATGTATCGTGCAGAGGTAAGTTCATTTTCTGGTGCAATGCTATTTCCTGGTGGGATGATGTACTTCTGCCCTTTTGGGTGAGACTGTGAGGACCACTCTTACTGTATTCTAACATTGTGTGTTTTGCTTCCTTCTAGGAAAACTGAAGCCTATTGTGAAGTCCCAGCCAGTGCCAAAAAACAACAAAGGGCCTGTGAAAGTGGTAGTGGGTAAAACTTTTGATACCATAGTCATGGATCCAAAGAATGATGTTCTCATAGAGTTCTATGCCCCGTGGTGTGGCCACTGCAAGAAACTAGAGCCAGTGTACACCGAGCTAGGCAAAAAATACAAGAATGAGAAAAACCTGATCATAGCCAAGATGGATGCTACTGCCAACGACGTGACAAATGACCACTACAAAGTGGAGGGATTCCCCACTATCTACTTTGCTCCGAAGGACAAGAAGAACAACCCTATTAAATTTGAAGGCGGGGACCGAGATTTAGAGCATCTGAGCAAATTTATAGAGGAGCATGCCACAAAACTCTCCAGAACAAAAGAAGAGCTTTAGATAAGATGAGGGTGGTGAAGAAAAATCGTTTGTACATTGTAGTTAAAAGCAAGTTACTGACAAAACCTTGAGAAGAATTAAGCAAGGAAATTCTTGAGCAGTAAAGTAATTACAGTATCTTTTTTTATATGTCAGAAGAGTTTTTTTCTGGACACTGAACTCCTCTGATATGAATGTCTTCCCTTAGTTACGGTTTTGATCTTTGGAGAAAAATACATCCTTTATTTTTTTGTGACTATCTTGAGCTTGGTTATTTGACCCCAATGCAGCTGGTTTTTAAGTTAAAAGATAATACCAAAAAAGAAAACCAGATCCCTCTGCCAAACAGATTTCTCTGTCTTATTTGTTGGTATGGTTACCAGGGGGGCAGTGTTTTGATCCAGTCTTCTCTTCTGTTTATGTTTCTGTATACCTACTCATGTGGCTGTATCACTGTATTCATTGCTGAGGGTAAGAATGGAGGGCGCTTTTTAAAGTATGGACAAGTTATTCAGTCCTACTGAGATAAGACACACTGACTCACAAACTAGATGTGCTTTAGACCTGTCTACTTTTGCCCTGTGCCCCTCTGTAGAGACATGTTGGGGTTTCAGGTTTATGTACTCCAGAAGCACCACCAACATCTCAAAGTTGTGATGCTGTAGTGTGGGAAACTTAAGTGTCGCTGGGGCAGTTTTGATGCATGTTTCGTTTTACAAGTAGTGCTTCTCTCCTAGCAGCACTGCTTCCCGTCTTGCAAAAGATCAGTATCATCAGCCTTCCTTCAGTATTTCCTTGTCACATTAGTTTTCAGCTTTCTGGATGGTGTGCAAATCTGAAACCACCACCCAATTTTTTTTCTTCAGGGGAGATGCAGCCTTCTATGTAGCAAGAATAAACCCATGTCCAGGAGGTGGGTATTAAGGTATAATGCAAGTACCCAAAGGGTCCTGCAAGGGGGGTATGTAACCCTTATCCTTCCCTATTGCAGTTTGCATCCTTGTTCAAGGGACTGATGCCTTGACAGGGCACTGTTCCTTGCTGTTAGCCTGTGCAGTAAAGCATGATTGTTGCATTATCCTTGCAGAGGTCTATGAGTCTGCATGAAGGCTTTCTCTTAGAAATTTAGCTGAAGCTAATGAGCAAAGCTCACCAGCAGATTACGAATGAAGGGGACAGTATCAGATCTCCACAGTGTCAGGGTGTGCTTGAATGCTATTCAGGTCCTGTTGTTTATCAGCGAAAGCTGGGAAGTGCTAAGCAGCTATTCAGGATCAGATCTCAATTGCTGCTTTGTGATAAAGCAGTATAATCATTCATTTCAGGCCTTGGCATTGTCAATCTCTTCATATTAGAGGGTTTTTCTCTACTGTCCTTAAACGTACAGCTATCTGTTAAGCTTGGGCAACATTTCACCTAGAAGACTTACCAAGTGCATTATCTTCCCATCATTTGCAGTTTCAGTTTGCAGCTTTTCTGTAGGGCCTTCAAAGGCTATGATCTGTGATAAATGTCCTGTGCAGGCAACAGGACCAAGCTCAGACTGAGCTGAGCACCAGCTGACATTAGTAGTGACTTTGTCAGCTTTAGAAAGTGGACATAGCCAGTTAGCAAGTTCTGTCTGTCCTGTATGCCAGTTGAGATCAGCTCAGTTCTTCAAATAACACTTCAAGGCACAGACTTCTCAAATCTGTTCTTGAACATTGTTCAGTTTCTATCCTGAAGCAAATACCTCACTTAATACTGCAGGGAACTAAACTGCTCCTGCTTAGTAGTTGCAGGCTTATAGGGATTTACTCCAAAACAGATGTTGTCTAACCGACAGGAGAATATGGCTAAATATAGACCATGTGGGAGGGAGGGTGAGAAGACTGCAGTGAGAGCTGAAGCTCCATTCTTGTGGGGAATAAGTTGTATAAAAGCTTTCTGCTTCTCCTCTTGCAGGTGCTAACTCCCTAACACTGTCATTGCCAGTGATGTGTTGTTTCTGTAGACTGCTCCCTCCCAGCAGGAGCTGATACTAGTCTGGGTTGAAAACAACCTTTGGGGCCTGCTGGGAGCCCTGGTGGCAATAAAATGCGGGAGGCCCAGGACAGTGCCTAAGGTGTGCTTGCACAGAACTCCAGCCACCACCTTCTTCCTTGCCTCCACAGGTGGAGGCAGCCTGGTACACAGTTAACTTCAGAATTACTGAATTCTGTCCTGGAGCAGCAGTGTCCAAGTCAGATCTGAGTAAGGAAGAGGAATACACTAGCTCTAGTATTGCTAACTTCAGCTTCTTGACAACTGTGAGCTGCAAAGGCAGGTTATGGGTTTAGACTGAGTGGTTGAGGGAATCAGGATCTGGTCCATCCTTACGCTAGTGTCATCTGTCCACATTTCCTGTGGTCCTTGGCTGTACCACACGTGTTGGAAAATATCATAACTGATGTGTTTATCTTGATCGCTTCCCAGCAAGATCATAGAATCATAGAACAGTTAGGGTTGGAAAGGACCTTAAGGTCATCTAGTTCAGATGATCTTAAGGTCCTTTCCAACCTATTGCCTCTCAACTTTGGACAAAGTCATACTGGAAAGCAAACTGCTTTCCTTAGCTCTGGTACCCTATCCCTTGTTCTGTGCACTGTCAACACTGCATCAGCTCTCTGTGAAACTCACTGGGGTGTCTACATCTGTTATCTGTAGAGAGTTAAAGCACTTAGCCTGAGAAGTGCTATTAATATAACTGATAGAGGGAGCTCCTCTCACCTGCTTTGAGCCAGGGCTGCAGGAGCATATGGATCATTCCTCATTATAGTTCCAGGTGGAAAAAAGCCTCCAGTTTGTGCTTCAGCACAAGACTGATTTGTGAAGTAATAACAGCTCCTGGGTAGGCTCCAGGAAGCCTGGCCTGGTGCAAATAATCTGACACATGCATCCTCTAGAAAACAACTCTTTCAGTAAACTATAGTACACCCTTAAGCAGTCAGGCTTGAGACTTCTTCAGGGCCAGTTCCTTTCTGTGAATGCTTAAGGACTGGGATAAGCAGCAACTCTAGCAGAGCTGGTGCTCCATAAGGACTGAGTTTGTACTGTGTCTATGAGACATTCAAGGTGAATGCCTTGGGATCTTGATACTTCATGAAGTGGTAGCTTTTTGGTGCAGGAAGAGATTGTTACAGTAGAGGGACAGGTGTCTTTGCAATCAAGGTTATTACTTCTACTTGAAATGATTTTATACTTCAGAACTGTTAATTATGGTGATGCCTGGGTATGGCCCAAGGTTTGGCAGGTAGCAAGCAAGCAAGGTACTGCAGGGCTTAAATTTTGTGGAAAAGTCTCATCTGTCCTCTTGTACATGAGGCTACATGTTGGGGAGACAGGCTTCCAAAAAGTAGGATGTGAATAAGAATATATAATACAGGTTAAAGGCTTTTCAGAAAGTAGCATAAACTGGGCAGACTTGTGGTTTTTTGTGGTAGCCACTACAAACTGTCAATGCTCCAGAAGGTTCTTTGCTCACAGCCTACATTGGAAATGGACAAGAGTTGGAGGATTGAGTATTGCAGTCTGTAAACTCAGCCCTTGATGTGGTGTATTGAGTACATCGAGTCCCATGCAAGCATGTAATGCACTTCATACAACTTGTGAAGAGCCTTGTGCGTGTTAGGGAATTTAGCTTTGGTTTGCTGTGGAAAAGGAGTTCCATAAGTGAAGCAGTGCAGAGCAGGGGTCTGTCAGCAACTCTAGCTAGAGGCACTGAAATGCTGTAGCATCTCTCCTCAGATGCCAGGGCTTTTCAGTCAGTGTTACTGCACAGCTTGAAATATGGAGGTGTAACAGAAATCCCTGAGCATCACTGCAGTATAAATCAGGAGAGGGCTCCCAGTTACCAACTAGGAATGGTTCCCCTTCCTTTCCTGCTGGGTCTCGTGGTACATTGCATGAAGCCATGTAGCCATGGGCAGGAAAAGCATTTTCCTGACATGTGTGACCTGTCTTGGTACCTGTTTTCCAGAATCCCATAGAGCTCATAAGTCAGCCTGTTTTCTTTCAGTTTCTTAGGTTGCTCTGCACTGAAGATGGTTCCTTAAGACATAGCTCTGCGTGCTCTCAGAGGCCACAGACTGATGTCCTGTTAATGCTGGGTTTTCTGTATCATGGACAGCTGGTTTTACATGAAGCCACTGTGCTGTTATCTGACTCTTTGCACCATTGCTTTCTGTAGCATTCCTGAACATCTGGACAAGCTCTGTACGCACCATGAAATCTAAATTGTCATGTCTTTGCAGAGGCTGGGTGAGACACCATGGATCTGGAAGGGCTTGGGTCTGAAAGGACATGGTCATTCTCCAGTTTCATTTCTGCCTATAGAGGGGAAGAGATTTGCTCTGTGAATTCTGTGAATTGCCATTAATCCTTATGTAGGAAGGTGGAAGTTTCAGAAATGCTGTTTGTTCAAATCCCAAGGTGTATGTGATTTGATTAACGAAAAGGTAAAGGAGATAAAGCTAGATTTAATCCAGTCATGCAAAGAAAACTGTTACCACAATTGGTAACCATATCCTCTGATGGATTTCCATATGCTGGGGTTTGAACAGCCAGTTGTTTCTTCATAGTAAAAGCTGATGCTTGTCAGCCTGTTCTTGCTTAACGCTCTCCTCCTTGCTTTGTCCCAAGTTTGCTTTGCCTTTCTGAAATCCAGCATGCTTTGTCTTGCAACAGGGGAGAATTCATCTGCAATACAGCCTGGTAAATTGCTGCTCAGAATGGTAGAACCAGAGTAAAAGAAAATACAGCAGAAGCTGGGCTCAAAAAAAAAAAAAAACAAATGGTAACTGAAATGTCCATAAAGTCAGAGAAACCAAGCCTAGAAAGGACCATTTACTCTCCTATTCCAATTGCTTTACTTATCAGGTCATTAGTTTTCATCTTTCTGTGTTCAGCCTAATAACTTGTATTTAAGGTATGCAACAGAACCAAAGCTCCATAAGTGCTGATGCTACATTAATACTGATTTCGAACCCACAGAATGCATTCAGGAAAGGGAATTTGCCTCTTAAGCAGTACTGCTTTGAGTAAGGAAGGCAGTTTCTGCATTTGTTTGCCATGTGAAATACTTAATGTGTTACTTCTACTAATGTCTTTGGAAAGTAGATTTTAGCCATGTATTTTAATGTGGGGTTTGGCTGCTCTTTTGTGCTTCGAGTTGTTTCTGATCTCTTACAATCTCAAGAGGATATAATAACTAAAGGACAGCAGGAAAACTCCAGTAGCTGA